TGTCTTCGCCGTGGCCCCTGACCCACCAGTATCCTGTCTCTGCCTTGGACCCTGACTCCTGACCCGTACCCCTGAGTTCTCCCGATCTGTGGCTCCCTGGCCCTTGCAGTTTGTATATAGTGCGGTTCTTATTTGTTTCTTGCGGGTGGTGGTGGGATAGCCTGTGTTTATGTGGTTTGCTATATCTATTAAAACTATGATTTACAAAGATTGTTGTGGCATCTGCAGTGTGGTGACATATTCGGTTCACCAGCATAGGTAGCTGCACGTAGGGTTGCCACCTTCCAGGATTCACCCGGACAGTCCGGGTTTTGAATGCTGTGTCCAGGTTTCATGGCAGCTGCAACCCGGGCGCATGATGTCAGGCAGACAGGGGCAACCAAAATTAAGATAGGGGCTACTGGCCCCCCACTGAAAATAGTCTCGACTGTGAGATTTACATATGAATGGGTGACGCTATGTACATATGAATAAGCCACTACTCATTCTCCCCTAAAGATTTCCATGCATCGCTAGAGTGTTCAGGTTTCGCTGGAAGAAAAGGTGGCAACCCTACATGCACGTGGTGTTGGAACACCCGTGCTCGGTATCGTGACTCTTATGTAATAGCAAAGCACAAAAAATGTGATGCCAAACAACACAAAAAGCCTTCATCAACGGAATAACCAATAACAGAGCTGGCCTGCCCTCTCCTCTTGTTTCCCCAAAATATATCCAATATGAAACGTCGGGTGACTCAAAATGTGTTTTTGTTTCGGTTGCAATCAGCTCCCGGCTTTCCGCAGTTCCCAGAAACTCCCGCCAACTGGTATGATCTGAGTTTACACTCAGCACAAGCCATTACCTGAGCTGTTCCTCATGGCAGTGATAGGAGGATCCATTTGTTGACTCTACCTGTGTACAAAGACTGAAAAGCAAACGTCTTCTTTGTGTGTGTGTGTGTTTCTTTAAATACAGTTGTCCTACAAGGCACCCGACATTTCATATTAGATATACTTCGGGGAAACAAGAGGAGAGGACCGGTCAGCTGCTCGTCATTAAAGTAGACGTAAAGCCAATCAGTAAAATCTCACATCAGCTTTAATGTCATTTCAATCTTTTTTGGGTCTGCCGCTTTCATTAAAATAACCCCTGTTGATTCCGCCATGAAGTTTCTTGCTTGGGCACTTCCTGTTATAGGGTGACAACGCTCTGTTCATTTCTGTCTCCTAACTGTTCTCCTGTGTTGTCACCCTATCACATGGGCCTCCGATGGTGGCTACAAGTGACCATTTCAAGATACGTTACATGGGCACCATCCACTGATGTCACCACCCGCCCTGAGAAATGCCATGCAGCCATCGCTGGAGTGCATGTGGACAGGAACTGGATGCAAAGAGTCTGCAGGACATCAGAAGAGGGGAAAAACACAACACAAGAGGGTTTCACAAAAGGTGAAAACAGAAGTTTATGAAAATAGCATGGCAATTGTTGGGGTTTAGATCCACCTCAACAAGCTTTATGCTATTAAACTCATTGTTGAACATAGGTAAGCCTGTGTTCTATCAAAGTTTGTGACTACGTTAGAAAGTGTGACTGATGACGAGGCAACACATTTTAACGTAATCCCGCCCACTTTTACAGCGGTGGAATGTGTGACCGGTCACGTGATCACACATTTTACCGTAATCCCGCCCATTTGTAGCCACCAATAGGTGGTGAAGTCCAACACTTTGTCAGCTGTTCCAGGGCAGATCGGCATCGCAAATTGTATGTGCAGGAGAACCGAACAGGCGTCCATCACCAAGATGGCCACCAACAGGCGTCCATAAGATGGCTGCGCATGCGCGATCACATCACGCCTGTAGCGACGTCACGCGCAAGCGCGATGACGTCACGGTGGGGTGATACCCAGCCTCGGGATGCCCCTGCTTCAATATCAGTTTAATTCTTCCTATCTATATAAGTTCTGTGCTAATCTTGTATCAATGTATCAGCTGCTGTGCCAATAAGATCACGGAGCAATAGAAACAACATAAAAACACAGTATTAAAGATACCAAAAAAATAAAAGAAATCAACCCGCAGTGAACAATATTTCATATCATACCAAACTTCAAAAATAAAGTGCTCTGCGCCACCTTAAGACCTCATTCAGAACGGAATCGGCCGGCACGTACAGCTCCGTGCTGTGTGCACGGCCGTATCGGGCAGCTCCCGGGAAGGACAGGTGCTGCGTGTGATTAGTACGCAGCCCGTCTTTCTCTATTGGAATACGCGGCCGTACGCCGCCCTGCGCTCACCCGTCCTGCACGTCCGTGCGTGGGTCCGTACTCGTACTCTGACGGGATGGATCCTGTCTGCGTCCGAGACGGGACACCCGCACGGACCTGCACTAGGGGGCAGCGTCAGGCGGCGTACGGCCGCGTACTCTCACAGAGAAGGACGGGGGCTAGGTACTAATCACACGCAGCACCTGTCCTTCCCGGGAGCTGCCCGCTACGGCCGTGCACGCAGCACAGAGCTGTACGTGCCGGCCTTTTCTAGTGTGAATGAGGGCTTAAAGGAGAACACCCTCACTGTGTTTCCCATAGTAACTAAATGGTGTTTTCCTATAAAAGTGGCGCGGAGCACTTTATTTTTGAAGTTTTTTTGAAACATTGTTAACTGCAAGTTGATTGTTATTATTACGGCACCGTCTCCTTTTATATGCGCAGACTGTTGACTATACAAATCCTGTAAAATAACACTAAATATTATTTTTTAGGCATCATTAGCACTGTGTTTATTTTGTTTCAAACTGTTTTATTACGCTCTCTCTCACCCTAAAGCCGGCGACACACCTATAGATGATCTGCAGACTTTCTATGGTCAGATGGTAAAAGTGCATCAGATTCTCCATCTACGCTAAACAGTGTGGATGGAGGAATCTCCCACTGGCCCAAGTTTCAGTATCTTGTTAGTCTGCCACGCTGGCTGTCAAAATACCTGAACCATCTGATTGAATGGGCACTGTTCAGGTATTTTGAGAGCCAGCGTGGCCGACTAGCAAGATACTGAAACTTGGCTCAGCCGGGAGATTCCTCCATCCACACAGTTTAGCGTAGATGGAGGAATCTGTTGCACTTTCTCCATCTGACCATAGAAAGTCTGCAGGTGATCTATAGGCATATGGCCAGCTTAACCAGCAGTAAGTCATTTCTTCTGGTCACTGGATAACTTTTATGGCAACTGACATTGTATAACGAGGGAGGCTGGCTTCAAGGCTGCAGACAGAAACAGCAAATACATTACAGAGCGGTCGCTTGAGAATACAGCAAACACTGGAGTTTACCTTTCACTGCAGCTGACTCCAAGTGGACCTGTTGAGTGAATGGTCTTCTCGGGTTAATTCGCCTCTGCTGTACTGGGCGATCGAAAGGCAAGAGCGGGCTGTGTGAGCCTGCGGAGGAAGGAAGGCAGGGTGTTTTCAGTGTTGAGTAAAAGGTATTTTGCTCCTCATCTAGTCCGGTATCATCTGACGTGATTCACTGGAGGCTGCTTAACCTGTTTCTTGCCTGGTGGCTTTGGCATGAGGCTGGGAGGCAATTGTTCGAGCTCTCCCAATTGTTACAGCAGCCAGGGGCTCTCCTTGCTGCTGATTAATGCGCTCGCTTATATCTATAAATTATTAGGAATATACTGATGTGAGTGTCTGATATGTAAAGCAATCGATAAGTTTTCGGCACTATATACAGTGCGTTCAGTAAGTATTCAGACCCCCTTCACTTTTTTCAATTTTGTTACGTTGCAGCCGGATACCACATTTGTTTAAAGTCTTTTTTTTCCCCTCATTATTCTACACTCGATACTCCATAATGACAAAGTGAAAACAGAATTTGCATATGCATGATAAAGGAAAAACCTAAATATCTCATTGGCATAAGTATTCACACCCTTTGCAACAACACTTTAAATTTAGCTCAGGTTCCTCCTGTTTCTCTTGATGGTTATTATTATTATACAGGATTTATAGAGCGCCAACAGTTTGCGC